ATAAATAATTGTTTTAGCCTTCATTATAATATCGAGTTAGAAATATATTTATTCAACAAAAATTAAAATTCATATTATCATTCATGTTAAAGGAATGTAATTATCGATTGTTTATAACTCATGAATCTTTAAAATAACGAATTTTTTAAACATATTACAAAAAAGACTTCATAGTGTTGGGATAAAGCATTCTCTACTATGATTTATGAGAATTTATTTTTACGTAAATATAAATTTAGAATTGCTTGTGCATAGTATAAATATTATCTGATATTATTTTTGTTCAACTTATATTGTTTAAAAAAACAAATAGGTTTTATATTGTACAAAACCTTTTTTTTTTGATTTTAATAAAGAAAGAGGTGCTATTATGATATGACTTGATAATGATATTCTTAAGATAAACGAAATTCAAAATGTATATTTATCAAAGACTTTCTTAGTATATAAGAGACTGATTTTCATTCAGAGATATTTTGTAGTAATTTAATAAACTCCATGACAGAATTTTGGACTGTCAATACATACGATGAAATAAATCTACTTATCAGATGCTGCTGATTATTTGAATTAAAATATCATATTACATATTTTTAAATAAACCAATGAAATATTATTGCTCTTAAACAATTAGAAAATGGAAAATAAGAAGTGAATTATTTTTTAAACTTTGCATGCATGAGATTCATAGGAATAATTATCTGGTATATTCAATGGTGATCGAGAAGTATCGGATAGTGATTGTTAATGCACCATTTGACTATTACTATTATATCTTGTGATAAATATAGAAACATATTTTATAATAATGTAATTCGATCAATAATGTTGTGATCCCTTAATGCATTCAATGAAAAAAAAACACAGTATAGAAACAAAATATTTTTATGACTATAAATATCAATAACTGATCACTATTTTATTTTTTTGTTTTCTCAAGACTTCAGAGTTGGTGACGTAGTATTTGATAAGACTCCAAGTGAAATGTGTAAAGACCCAGTAGATGTCGTGCTCCACACACCATCGAGAAAAGTTGCTTATTACAACTTACCAAGAGGTAAATGATCTTTACTGATCAAATTCATGTTGCGATGACGAAATTGTGCGGACTGGTGGTAACAGTAGTCTGCCAGAGCAACACATTTTAATAAAACAATATAAAATATTATTCACACTATGATTGATTATTCGGCTTGACTTATTCAAATAATATAATTATTTTGAAGATAGCTAGCAGTCTAAATAGATAGGCTTGTTATGCACTATAACATCCCTGACTTATTCTTAATTGAAGTGTTTTGTTGTATTTTATTATTATTGATATTTTCTAAGGTAGATGAAAAGTGACACTAATAATGAGCAATATTTTGCGAAGATATATATATATATATGCATTGAATTATGGTTTGATTGGTTGTGGTACGATATAAAGTAAACTTGAAGAAGATTAAATCTTGAAAATAAATATGAGTAAAAATGATAGAAATGATAAGTTGATTGAATTTAATTGTTATGAGATTTCAAAAAGTTTTTCATAGTACAATATATAGATTTATCCAGATATCTATCTATATTTAACTATACTGATAGTATAAGGTCACTTGAGAAAATCGTTTTTTTATTGTTGTATACTTGAATTATTAAAAATGAATTAGATGTTGATAAATAAATGGTATATAATATACATATATAACTATATAAAGAATCTAAATCTTTGAATAATTACAATACATTCTCTACACTTCAGAATTGTAATAAGAAGGATTTTAGTCAAACAAAATGTTAATATAATTTCTAATGAAATCACATATGTTGAGAATATTTGATTCATATTATTTTCCTTGTATACAACAAAAAAGATAGATTAGCAAATATCGATGCTATACTAAAACATGTGTAGACTATAATCTGTTTCATCAATCTTGTGAATGATTGTTTGATTGGAATTCAGTGATTGTAAGATAAAGTAACTTGAACAAAATGATATGAATAATTTAATTGATGTGCATAGATCAAAAAGAAAAATTTCATTTTATTTTTCTCCTTAATTAATCAGCAAAAGAAATTCATTTTCAATAGTAAGTTTAAGTGATAGCCTTTCACTAGTTTATAAACTAATATTTAAATTATTAATAAATTGCATATTTTTTCATATAGACTTCATTTATCTTTAATCATAACTGGATGCAAATAAATTTCTTTCCAAGGCAATATTTCTTTGAAGAGATTCTTTGAATCAAATGTAATCTCTTCCAAATATTACATATTATTAATGAATTTGATTTAGAGAAATATTTTTCATTTAAATCAACATCGTATTGATTCTAGACTGAAACTAAATAACATAGAAATGTGAACAGTTTTATCATTATTAATTGAGAAATATTCGATGAAAACAAATAATGACTTGCAATTAATCTAACTTCATCAGGTTTACTAACTATAAGTAATCGAAAAAGTATAGCAAGTGACCCAAGGTGAATTCAAAATTGAAAATAAAATGTATCTTGATTTCAATTATATACTATTTTAAATTAACGGTGAACAATAGAAAATGTAAAATTTGTTGATAGAAGATAATTTCTTTTCAAATAGCCAAATTATATAAACTAACAAAACGAGAAAATAAATCAAGAAAACAGCATGGAAATATTGTAGCATTGAATAAAACACTATTGTCATATATATCAGCACATGAATGTGCTAGTTTCCAAATTTGAAGTAATTAAATAATGATAATGATGCACTTATTTCTTGGATGTCTGAAAGCTACGATATCTATTTGGTTGCTCCTCTTTTTACTTTTTCTACGATGTAATTAGTACGATCTTTGTAAGACCATACAAAATCTTGTGAATGATAGATTGGCAAGCGATCTCAAAATTCAATAATAACAATCAACATGAGTGATATTGACAAATTTGTTAAAATGGAAAACTATTACACATCAGTTGTCGATGAAAAACTCAAAGAATGTCATGAACTAATAAAAAATTGAATTGAAATTATACAAAGCATTTGATCAATTATTGCCACTTAAAAAGTAAACACGTACTACAGTTGATGCGATTTCTACAGGACATGTTTTTGTTTCTATTGTAAAATATTATTATGCAGCAAAACAACGAGAATTATTAAATGGATATGTTCTTACATTATCAAAACAAACAATTATAAAAATGATACAAGAAGTTTATGAACTTGTAGAAAGAACATCTGATTTAGATACAAAATTGTAATTAATTGTATCTGAACGATAACGCATTTACGTTTAACTAAACATGATTATGCTCGAACATAAATTATAACAAAAAAAGATTAATATGAAATCTTTTGAAGATGAAACTTTAAATGATTTAAAATAAAAATATTATGATACACTACGTATAAAACAAGATTCAGAAAAAATGAAACTAGCATTAAAATATTGAAAACGAACTAGCAATAAATGTTTTTGTAAAAAAAGATGATGGAAAAAAAATGTGGAGAAGATTTTAAAGTTCATGTAGTTGATGGTGTAGGTATTTTAATCAAAAACCAACACTTACACCTTCATCCATACCCACACCCATTTTGTTGCTCTTTCTTTGTATTATTATTGATTTTCTAACAGAATAGAATTTTACAAGTAGTTATGTTTATTCATAACTTTGTGAAACTAGAAATTGTAAACATAACTGATGAGTCTCTTACACAAGGATGAAACAGTAACGTAAAATACAGTTGTATTGTTTCTAAATGATATCAGACTCATGATAATCAATATACGTTTGATTCACAGCACTATATTCCATATAATAATTAAGATTTCTCAAACACGTTAGTTATCAATGGTCTCCTTATTTATTCATTCATCCACCACACAGACTATATTTCTATCACATAAAACATTGTGTTATATGGACGAACAAGAATAAGAGGCCAAGGAAAGATCATTGACTGAAAAAAAGGAATGAAGGTTCTATAATATGAAAGAAAGACAATGTAATCACATTGAAAGAACAAAGAGAATGAAGGTTTGTCATATATCAGCTCAATATAATAACATTGCAAGAATAACGAGAACGAACACATGTTTAAGGACAATCAAGTATATAATAAATATGTCCTTACCTATTTATAAGTGATGGATAAGAATAAATCTGTATTACATTATTTATAAGAGATAAATCGATAGTGTAAAACTATCTTCATATTCATCAGCGCAGAAACGTAGTAGGATGCTTATAATTTCTATCTCTATTGATACGATAGATAAATCTTCCATTAACCCGTATCTTGTAAACGCAATCATTCTTTTTCTGGTTGTTTTAAACTTTCTCTATGAGACAAATATATATGCACTCTATTCTACAACTAACGCTTATCCGAGGACTCGCTTAGCTCTTTCTCGTAGAAATGCATTTTCTTCACATTTACTGGAAAAACAAATGTTTTTTTCCCGAAAACTGACTTTCGATGTTCTTTTGACTTCCCACTCACCCGCTCCTAACTATGCTCACCCAACAGACCTCAAATTCGAACTCCCTGTATTGAAAAATCTCGAGAAATGTGTTTCACCAAAAATCGATTTTCAATGTTTTTTTGACCCGACGGACAGACAAACAAACAAACAATATATGTTCACTGGACTCTTCTCTATGAGAAAAAGAATAAAATAGACAGAACGCCGATTATCTTTATTTCGCCAACGCAATCGTTTTTTGTTGTTGTTATGAGTCTCGTCAATGAAATAAATGTCAAATTATAACATCGTCTCATAAAAAAACAGGTAATTATAATGTGAACGCACACATATATGCACTCTATAGAGGGTGTGGGTGGGATGGGTGTGTCTTGATGTAAGTGTAGGTGTAGAGCTAATTTGTGTATAACATTCGCACTCACACCTATAAATCTGCGTAATTCCTTTTGTAGATCTAGTATCATTGATGTTCCGTGTCTCAAATTCTGCACGAGCAATGCTTCAGCTGGTTTAATAAGCTGACGTATTGACTACAATGACCACGACACCTGATGAAGCTACTATGAAGCATCCACCGCTGTTGGATGATATTATTCTACATGAAAATGATCTGACCGAAGAAGCCAAGAGCTGTTTCGGCTATCATAGTAAAATTTTGCATGCGTTTGAATTGTATCGGCGAAGCATACTTTGTAATGAACATATGACATGTTTGGGTAGACATCGAGCTTTAAGTGAAATCGGTAAACTGCATACAAATTGCAAACAAGTTCTCAATTATATGACAGAACACAGTGAACTTCTTAGTGGTAATTTGCCGCCGTTTGGTCCATTGATTATTTATGGCCTTCCCCGTACAGGGTCGACATTGCTCCAAAATCTGCTTGCCTGTGATCCTGATTGCCGTTCTCCATTGATCACCGATATGTGTATCGACATTGTTCCACCCATCTCACGATCAAATTCAGTTGAACATGAGAAACGAATGGCCGCACGGATATCGTATTTTGGACAAATTGCATTATTTGAAGCCGAAGCAAAGCACATTTTCGCTTCTCATCCATATTTTCCCATTGACGAAGATTACTATATTCTGCGGCAAGCAAGCTTCCTACCCTTCTTCACGATGATTACATCTGATCAGGTATCTGATGATGGTACTTGGCTTCTTAAAGAATTGAACAAAGACTATGTATATGACTATCATGAGCTGTTTTTGCGGATGTTGAATTCTGTCGATGCGCCACGTTCTCATTGGTTATTGAAGACACCCGTGCATTCTTTTAAACTAGATACAATCCTTCAACATTACCCGAACGCAGCAATAGTCATGACTCATCGGCGTCTCGATGAAGTCTTACCTTCGTCGTGTAGTTTATCATGGTCTCTTGGATCAATTCATCTCGACAAAAGAGATGCCGCCAGTCGAAATACAATCAAGAAACAAACTCTACAATTCATTGATAAAGCGATCGAATGCACAGTAGAGTTTCGCACTCGTCTAGACCGTATACATGATGAAAAGCGCAAGAACCTTTTTGACGTTGCCTACAATGATTTGATGGAGCAACCGATTGCCACTGTGCGTCGCATCTATGATTATTTCGGTCTTCGGTGGTCAGACGAATTTGAAGGAGCCATGCAGGTTTGGCTTTGCAACAATCCCCAGGGCAAGCAAGGCCGTCACAGTTATAGTCTGAAAGAGTGTGATCTCATGATCGAAGACATTGAGGCACGGTACGCGGATTATATCACTTTGTTTCAGTGCTCACCATCTTCCGATATTGCTAGTGCTAGCAGCCACTAGGTTTCTTCGAACAACGAATCATTTGAACAAGCCTAATTAATTCTTGTCATTCTCGACTATTTCTTGCGATTATTGAAACTATCTTTTCATAAGGTATGGGTGTGGGGGTGTGGGTGTGGGTAAGAAGAAACCCGACGCTAATAGCCGCACTTCCGCTCACATTCTAACCCAAACTCGCATCCACACCAATACTATACTCACACCCATATCTACATTCGACCTTAATTTTACATTAAACAATGCCATAAATAACTGTCGTCCTTCCCAATTACTAAGATAAGATTGAGGGTGTAGTTATTTTTTTTATCATCTGCACTGACATTCTGATTTATGGTTGATTTTACTCACCTTTTGCATATCTCAAGATATTATGCGCAGATACTACTCTTAAGGCTACAAGTTCAATATTGAAATAGTGCTGAAAAATTATTGAAAATATTATAGACAAGCTCGAAGTACGTAGCATTGCAGCTCGTCTAAATATACTATTAATAATAAATTTCACTTATTTTTTAATGCTTATGAATGAAAATGTTAGAAACTTTTATCATTATGATTCCATAAAAACAATTAGAAGAAAAAAATACGTTTATTAAAACAAAATCAACTATCAGTAAAGAAAGTATCTATATAACTTTGAAATCTTTCTTGATGCATTTCATGCTCAGCTTCACTTGTATCAAATTTTTCAAGATGGATCGTTGTTATATGAGTTTGATCATCTTCTTGAATGTTTTTCACCGAAAAGATTGTTCCTGGAAGGACAAGTATTTCTTGTTCTTCTTCAAATTGTGAGATACATTTTAATTTTGATGAGGATGAAAAAAGAGTTATAGCTGTTGAACATGATTTCACGAAATCAAACATCATAATTATATTGATTTTTCCTTTGATCTTCTCAGGAATAGTAAACATTTCAGCTACTGCACGATCAGCTGATGTTGAACAAAAAGTGTTTGTTCTTATATACGAATCTTGAGACTGAAATGCTTGTTTATATTTTTGAAATTCATTTTCTTCCATTGTTAATCCACGAAAAGAAAGTCCATTATAAGCACGTTGTATAAGACTTGATAAATGAAAAGAAATTGGTGCATTAAGATATTCTGTTTTGATTGAATCTTGTGCAAAAGATTTACATATTGATGTATGTAACGTATAGAGTTTCAAAAGATGTTCAACGTTTTTTGTTTCATAATACTCTTTAATACATGTATTTGCCTTTGAGTAATCTTCAGAACTGAGTTTACAATCTTCTGCAGTAAAATATTGTACAATATGAAGTTGTAGGTTTTCGACCCATTTATCAATTTTCTTTTTCTCAGGATCATTTCCAAAGAATCTTCTTATTCCATTAATTATTGGAGCAGTAATTGTATTATAATTATGATTCTGAACTTGACGAAGACATTCTGACATAATCGGTGCTTCAGTACGATAATAAGTAGTGTAACGTGAATCTGACGCATTTTCATTAGTAAAAAATTCTAGTGGATTTAATGTATTCTGATTAGTACAAAATGGATTATCTGAACGTTTCTGTCGAGGAAAAAGTTGACGAATTTCATCTGTAGATGCAACTTGATAAGCAGTTTGACCATTTATATTCGTTTGGTGCCGATCAACTCGACGATCATTTAAAAGAAGTCGAACAATATCTGTATAGCCTTTACTACAAGCCAAATGTAAAACAGTGCTTCCATTTGACTCTAGTTGATTGATTTTTGCATCATCTGGAGATGTTTCAATTAATATTCGAAGATAATCGATCTCATTATATCCACATGCTTTATAGATGTCACTTGTCATTATTATCTTCTAAAATGAAAAAATTCTTTATTAATATTCGTTTTATTATATCGTATTGCATGTATTTTTTTTCCAGACGTTATTGATTTTTATTATGTGAGTGTTCACATCGTATATGAAGACGTATAGACTTCCAAAGAAAAAGCAACATCATTGATACCAAGTGTTTTACTATATAGTTGTATAACGTATTGTGAACAGAAGGACAAATCAAAAATATCGGATGAAAATTATACGATAGAGAAAAAGACAGATGCCTTATATTATTTTGTTTTATTTTGTTCGAAAAGAAAAGTATATAAAACAGATTAGTTTATGCATCAAAGATACAAATTAATCTGCTAATTTTAATTTTTACTTTTTACCAATCAATCTTTTATCGAAATAATTTCAGATAATAAGTATATAAATGGAGTATCACTAGACGGGTTATAAATATTAGGAAAAACACACTTTGAGAAAATTTCGATTGTCAAAATTGAGATAAATCTTAAGAAAAAAATATTAGATTTTTGAAGTGGCAGTTTACTTTATTTGCTAGATTATATTTACGATTTAACGAGTTGTATGGAAAATGAACGATAAAATATATTCGAGCAGTTTATATAGACTTTTTAGACAAAGCATAACTCTCTCGACATTGTTGCGAAGAATAAGAAAAAGAATTTGACAAGACGAGAGGCGAGGTCATCGATTGATGATTCTCCCAGAAGTGAATAAATGATTTCATTACATATTAAGATAAGTTGTAACTGAAGAATGTTTTAGCTAAATTTTTATGTTTTTATTTTGATATAACTTTTAAATGAATAGAGTTATATGATAGAAAGAAGCAACCCAAATAATAGTATATTCTCTTTGATTTATATCGATTTCAATCAATAATGAATTTTAAGATATGGTATAGTTCTATTGAGTTCTGATCATTTTTCTGACTTCCCTATCAGATGTATATCATTAATCATTTAATCGGATACTGTATTATCTTGATAATGTGAGTGAAGAGAAGACTACAACTCACATACACGCCTCACAACCACACCCACACCCTCTTTTCAATATATGGTATCAAATTTAATTTTAAAATATAAAAGAAAGAAAAAGAACTTCATGTTTATTCTGTGTTTGCAGAGAAGATAATGAAAAGAAAAGAAAAATGTGTAACAAATATAAAACGGATGGTTATTAATTCATATCAAGACAATTGTTCTATATTTGATCCATCCGTTTAAAATAAATTAACCAATTTGTGCTAAATAATCTTTAACTTCAGCAGGTGTCAAACGACGAAAACCTTCTTTATCACAAATGCCAATTTCAATATTATCTTCTGTCATTTGTCCTTCAAATGATTCTTTAAGTGTTAATATAGCCGTATGTACTGCATCTTCAAGTGCTAACTGATCAGAATATCTGGAAACAAAATGGAAAGAGAATTACATTTTTAATGAAAAATCACAAATCAAAAGTACCTTTTTTCAAGAAAAGTTTTGCCATTGATATAATTGCGGCCGATAGCTGTTGCTTTCCATGGAAAATATGAACCCTATAATATAGAAATGAATAAATAAATATTATTTCAAGAAAATAAAATTTACGGATGGATCACATTGATAGAGAAATGGACGATCTTCATCATAATCATAACCACAAATAAGCAGAGATACACCAAATGGACGTACACCACTAAAATATGAATATATATATATAGTTTATTAATCAATTTAATTTTATGAAATCATATAACAAACCCAGATTGAGTATATTCTTGCATTACATCAGCTACTCGTTTGACTAATTGTGTTGGTGGTACATTTTGTTCATAAATAAGCATATATTCTTGACCTAATTTACGTGCTTTTTGTACGAGTAATCTATAAAAAAAATTAATAAAAATTTGATTTAAAATAATTTGAAAAAAATATTTTATATACCTATAGTCAGGTCCCATACCACTGTAAACAAGTCCCATATTTTTACAAATTGGTTCTACTTTATGAATGGTTCGATCATCATGTAATAATGATTTACTCTTTTTTTCTGTTGCCAATACAACTCCATTCGATGCTTTAATACCGACTGCTGGTGAACCGGCATTTACAGCATTAAGAGCATATTCAATTTGAACAAGTTTGCCCGATGGACTAAATGTTGTTAATGAAAACCCGTAACGTTCTGACATTATTCTATGATAAAATATTCAAATCTAAAAACAAAAATTGATTTAGAATTTATTTAATAAACATCATTGCATTTAGGCTTTTAAATAGAGTCCGTTCTTTTCTAGAGTGAGTGTGCGAGGGTGTAGATTCACTTCTGCTTTATTCACATTTTTATTATTCTTAGCAATTCCATCTGAAATATTAAAATGATATTATTAATCTTCATAGGAAATGTCGATATTCAACAAGCTCTCGTTTTGAATATTATGAAAAGAAAAAGACAACAAAATTTAACAAGAATAAGTATCAAGCACTTATATTTTTAATCTGAAAAAAATTATACAATAAACAAACAAGAACAATTACGAATAATTCCGTTCCAATTCAGCTTTAATCTTGCCTAAGACTTTTGGCATTTTTTTCACACTTTCATCATCATCTAATTTTTTTGTTTTATAAAAATGTGGTGCTGTTTCACGTAACCATTCATTTTCGATTTCTATAACTTGTCTCATATATTCTTTTGTTGTAAGAACAAGTTCAAAATATATAACATAACGTGGTATTTGATCAAATAAACAACTGTTTGGATGTATTAATACAGTTTGTTGATGACGTACAGTTTTATACATTCCATTTTTAGAAAATTTCGTTGTATGATAAAAAAATCCAGCACATATTGATTTACGTATGCCAACTGTATCAGCTGGATTTGATTGAATTTCAATTTCAACACGTTCCATTAATGCTTCAAGTTGATCACGAACTTGTCGAGCACGATTCATTGAACGAAATTGTATAAAATTTTCAAAACACCATTGTGTAGAATAATTTGTATCTTTCCATTGATTATAAACATTAAGTAAAGTTAAATGATCACCACCAGGTGCAAAAAATGCTTGACGTGCTGTATCAGCTAATAACATTTTATCTTTAGGACGAAAAAATATTGAATTATTAACAGAAAGCATTGAAACAATAGTTAAAATTTCCGATGAACATTTATATGTTTCACTAGCAAGAATTGTTTTTGATAACATTGGATCAAGAGGAAATTCAGCCATACGACGACCAAGTTTTGTTAATTCAACTTTATGATTTAATGCACCAAGAGCATAGAGTTGTTCGAATGCTAAACGTAATGTTTCCATTGGTGGTGGATCCATATAATCAAAATTAACTAAATCATTAATACCTAAACTTTTCAATAATAATACAACATTGCCTAAATTTGTTCGTTGAATTTCTGGAATGGCATTTTCATCTAATTCATGTTGATATGCCCATGCTGTATATAATCGAAAACATTTTCCAGGTGCAACACGTCCAGCTCTTCCAGCACGTTGATTAGCTGATGCTTTTGAAATCGGTGTTATTGTTAATGCTTCCATACCATTTCGTGCATTATAAGTTTTTTGTTTACAAAATCCAGGATCAATTACAAAAACAATACCATCAATAGTTAATGATGTTTCAGCAATATTTGTTGCTAAAATAACTTTACGTGCACCGGGTGGAGCTGGTTCAAATATTTTAATTTGCATATCAGATGGTAATGTTGAATAAATTGGTAAAACAATTAATTCTTTAATTTTTGATCCTAATCTTCTTGTTCGTTCAAGTAACATTTCATTTGCTGATTCAATTTCTTCTTGACCAGTAAGAAAAACTAAAATATCACCTAATGGTTGTGTAACATGAATTTGTAAGACAGTAACAACAGCTGCATCTATATAATCTGCTTCAGGAGCTTTTGTATAATAAATATCAACAGGAAATCGACGACCAGGAATACGAAAAATTGGTGCATCATCAAAAAATTGTGAAAATTTATCTGCATCAAGTGTTGCTGATGAAATTAATAATTTAAGTTTTGGTCGAAAACGTGCGATATCTTTAACTAAACCAAATAAAATATCAGTATGTAATGTACGTTCATGTGCTTCATCAACAATTAAAACACTATAAGATGCAAGATCTGGTTCACCAAGAAATTCTCTTAATAACATGCCATCAGTCATATATTTAATTACTGTTCGATCAGATGAACAATCTTCAAAACGTATAGAATAACCAACTTCACGACCTAATTTAACATTCATTTCTTCAGCGACACGTGCAGCAACAGACATAGCAGCAACACGACGGGGTTGAGTACAACCAATCATCATTTTCTTTTTCGTTTTCTTTTTTACACCTGGTAAATTAATTTCATTATCATCATCATCTTCATCTTCATCACCTTCTTCAATATCAGCTTCACAAAATCCTTCTTCATATAAATATTGTGTTAATTGTGTTGTCTTTCCCGATCCTGTTTCTCCTTCAATAATTAAAACTTGATGTTCACGTATTGCATTTATAAGATCCTCTCGAAATCTATAAATTGGTAATGTTTTACGTGATTCTTGTAATTCACGATGTTTACGTTTATTTTCATCTTCATGTTCATGTAATTTTGGTTTTTCTTTCTGCTGTTGTAAGATTTGATTAACACCAGGTATTGTTAATTGTTGAACGAATTGTATTTCTTCATCAAGTATATAATCATATTTTGGTTGTTTATTTTTAGCTTCTTTATCTAATGAACCATAATGTGGTAAAGCTGTATGAATAACTTCATCTTCCCATCTTCTTTGATCGGAATTTTGTCCACTTGATTTCGCTTCTGGATGTCGATTATCTTCTCGATAACGATCATTCTTCAATGTATCATCACTTGTACCAGTTGGCATATGATAACGATCAATATTTTCCATCTGTTGAGCTCGTTCATGTTCAAGTGCTAAATTTAATGTATATTTTTTTAAATCAATATTATGTTGTTCACGTTTGGTTAATTTAACATCTTTAAATAAATATGCTTCATCAGCAAGTTCTTGTTTAAGTTCTTCAACTTTTTTATCTTTTCGTGCTGCTAAATAAACATGACGAGATTTTTTACGTAATTCATCAACGGATAATTTTGAACGTTCAGTATCATGTGAAACAGGTTCAGGTTTGAATTTCTTTTTGGTTTGTTCTTCATCACGTTTACGAAGACGTTTTGCAAATGCATCACGTTCATGTATATCAGTTTCACGACGAGCATTTGATTCTTCATCATCTGTTGAAGGCGATTCATTTGAACGATCATCAACTGAAGGAGATTGTGGTGATGAGGCCATTTTACAAGCGAAAAATAAGAAAAATGATTTAGTAAATTATTACAAAAGAAGATTTTCTATCCATGGTAGCTGAAATTAACCAATCAACAAGATAGGATAATATAGATGGCGTTTATCGATATAGAATTTCGAAATAATTTTAAGCTAAAAGTATACTCAGTGGGTGAAATCCACCACATTGAGTTGTAAGAATTACAGAAATATTTGTTGCACAAGTACTGTTAATGAAAAGTGTGATATAGTGGTAATTACTTTTAGAATTTTTCAATTTTGTTCTATTTTATCTTATAGTGATGTTGCCAAGGTAGGATAGCGTTGGACCGCGTCCAACCATTGAGAAAAAAGTTGATGACTGCGCGCAATAACTTTGAAAGTTTTTACGGTGGCGCCCAACCATGCGGATTTTTCTGGTGACACCACTGATTCTTTATCACTTTCATAATATGTTTCCAACTACACATATTCAAATATCGATATACGTATACGTGATTCTCTCTATATGACTCGTCATTTTTAATTTGTTGTTTTCTCCATTTGTCTTCACGTATACAAAAAAACTTAATACACCTATTCGTCTCTTTTGATTGACATCAAGACGCGATAAAAAGACATCATTTAAAAATATGTTTATATATATATATTCTCAACTGATTTGTTATTTTTAAAATCATAAGTAATCATTATAAGAATATAATCCAACAGTTTACTCTGCTTGTAATAGAAAAACTATGTAGATAATCATGAAGATATTCTTAATTAATATCAATTTTTTTGTAAAAATTTAGTGTTGCTTTTCTTTCTTTCAAGATCACTTTTTCATAAATTTTTATATAAATCAATTCAATAGATACGTATGAGTTATTTGGTAAGATTTTAATGCATTTCACTCTTCTCCATCAATTTTATAGTTATATAAATAAATATTACGAGTATCGACATCGATCTGCTCAATGAAATATTATTTTGCAAGTAATTAAAACGCACACGCTGATCTGTTCTATGATTGTTATGAATAAATCGAGACAATTTTGTCTTTCTTATAAAAATCAAAATTCAGTTACAAGAGTTTAGCGTTACTATAAAATATAGTTAACAGAATATTTTCGAAACGTTGAAATAAACACGAAATATGTTGATATTTTCAATATACTTTTCTTATTTTGATTTGACAATTATTTTAAACATGCGACCTGATATTCAGTGATGAATATAAGCTTATTATTGCATCAAACCTTCAAGGTAATATTATAAATTGATTATTACTTTTATCTAGAATCGATGGAGTGAATCTTATTCTTAAAGTATGACATGTATTAATGATATGAATAAATACAAATTTTCATATCCATAAATCATTCAGTGCGTCTTTCAAATTATAGTTTAATGTAATAAATAAATAGAACATATAAACTATACATGAAATAGAGTCGGAACAAATTTTTTATTACACAGTTATTATCTTAAAAAATATATCACTATTGATCGCTGATAATATTTAGTTGAAAAATAATATTCGAACTAAACATAATAATAGTAAATACATATATATATTTCACATATAGGGTTGTGTCAACCTACAAGTCATCATCGTTATGAATATCAAAACCAATCTCTTTCTTGAATATGACAAGCTATTAAGATATAATCAAACTATGTTTACTTCTATATATAAAAAATTAAGTAAACCTTGAAATAATTATGATTATCATAAAATAATGTTAATGTATATAACTGCCAGTTTGAATGTGAAATACTCAATTCAATTGTATAGATCTTCTATTTTAAGTCCTTGAAATATATTCCTTCGATAAATATCGTTTTCTTTAAACTGATATCTAATGACATCTACAATAGAAATGTATGCAAATAAAACTTGATTGGCGGTAAGATATATACTCGTTCTTTTTTTCTCTTTCTTTCTCTCGCGTTTTTTTTTCTTTTCTCGATCTTCTTCTTCTTCTTCTTCTAGCTATAGTATTGCTTCCAGTCGTCCCCAGTTGGTTTTTTCTTCTTTTTTTCCTTCTTGGCTTTTTTTTTCTTTTTCTCTTCATCATCCATTTCTTCGACTAGTTGCTGTCGTCCGTCGACCTTGTTTCTCCACCTACTCTCCCCTTCTCTTTTCTATTTCTTTTTTTTTCTCTTGTTCGTTCGAATGCACATATACACTCAAATCGACGTCGTCCCGTTGCGATCACTTCTTTTTTTTTTTTCTTTCCTCGGGACTTTGCGCACAACGAACAAGAGAAAAAGAAAAGAATAAAAAATCACTACCACTATTACTAACCGAACGATATGTATGCTGATAGTTGTTTCTGTCTTTGACAACGTTGTTCTTTACTTTCTCTTTCTCTTTCTCTTTCTCTCTTTCTCTCTCATTGAAAACAGAACACAGAACATTTTCGTCCATTCTCTTTTTATTAAATAACTCATATATTTTTAAGACTAATGACCAAGAAAAACGATCAGATTAATACTTCGTCGGGTAATGGAAATAATACAACGACAAATGGTACTGTTATTGTTCATCAACAACCTGTTAATGAGCAACAACAACATTTTGTGTTATCGGCAGTGAATAATTCAGCACCTATGATTATAACGACTCCACTAGGTAAAATATGTCAATTAATTATAACTCTTTCGAAAAAATCTTTTTTTTTGTTAGCTGTACCTTCTATAATCACTCAACAATTACCAACTATAACAACGAATACTCAACAACTACAACAGCAGCAACAACAAACAGTAACACCCACGATTAATACGCCTGTTAGTTTAGCTAATACAACAAGTCAAAATAAAACGACAAAAGTACCAGCACAAGAACGACTTGTCTGTAGTCTTTGTAATAAAATCTATCGATCATCAGCTGGTCTTCGATATCATAAACGGAAGCGACATCGAGGTACGGAAGTAGAAAAAAAATTATTATCTATTATGTCAGGATTCTTTTGTTTGAATATATCTAGATGAAGGTATGCTTAAACCAACTCAATTACATCGAGTACGATGCTTAGAAAATGGATGTACTTATCAAATGCTTGCTATATCTGACTTGAGAAATCATTTGGCCAATCATCATCTAAAACCAGAATATAAAACAACTGAAGAAAAAAAATTTAATTCATTTGCTGGTAAGTAATATACAAATTATCAAAATACTTTATCAGATTTAAATTTTTCATAATAAATTCAATAGTTTTATGTTGCCTATGAAAAGAATAATAAAATTTTATTTCGTTATTCTATAGAATAAATTTATGAACAAAAAAAAGCAGTCTAGATTGATTTGAATGCTCAAACATATGTGAAAAAAATCAAGTATTTTGAGCTTGAAATAGAATACTAAAAGATTATATAGCATATCTTTCTATATTTACGAAAACTTTAAAATATTTCTGTTTTTTAGAATTTACCGAATGGAAATCTAGTTTTGAACAAAGTAGTGGTTCAAAATATGTGAAAAACTGTGGATCAAAGGGTAAATCTGAGAATCAAACAACAGAATATTATTATTGTAATAGAACTGGACTTTGTAAGTTAGAAGAATAGTTTTTTCATTATTATTATTATTGCTATTTAAAAATATTTCAGATAAACAAACGCGTCAAGGATGGCGTCGTAATTCCAAAACTCTTGATTCACTTCGATGTGGTATTCATTGTACATCATCAATGAAAGTTGATATTGCACGTAATGATCAAATATCCGTACAGTATTATCCCACACATTATGGCCATACGGCTGAACCACCTTTACAAGCTCCTCCATCAACTACAAATTCAACACTTGGAACAACAAATAATGAATTAGTTGAACAATCATCTGTTCAACAACAAACAATTCCGTCCATTCAAACTGTTGTACAAGCAGCTGTTCATCAACAAACTCAAATAACTACTGATCATTGTGTACGACTTCAACATCAACATCATGCACAAACGTCAAATATAATTATTAATATTGCTCCTGTAAGTATGTTTTGAAAATTATCTTTCAAGATGCATGATATCATTTAGAAATGAAAAAAACAAAACTATTTATTACTCTTTTATCTTTGTGAGAACTTTTTCTATTATTTTCTTTTTCCAGGTAAATACAACAATTATCAAATGCGTATGATTTTCGTGTGTATATATATATATTCTATGTTCAAAATTCCTTTCTACTTTAATGGAACAACGAACCATAGATTTATTCAACAACATTTCCGAATTAGAAAAAGAAAAGATACATTTTATGAGTAGTTTAACAGTGAAAAACACCTATCATTTATATCCAAAAAACAAAAAACGAAAAAGAGAAAAAAGAAAACTAGATGACGTTCGTTTTTATTTTGTACATTTTTTGCATCTAACACCCGGTCTCTCATTATAAGAAAAAAACATATATACACACATATATACATGCGCGCGCGTACCTTTTCCCCGTGGATATATATGATGAATAAAAGCTTTGTCGTTTTGATTTTTCTTGTTTGTTGATAAACATTTTCATTTGTTTTGTCTCTTATGTTTTTTTTCTTCTTCTTGTGTATCTCACTATTTCTTTGTTATTCTTTAATCAACAACATATTTGTCTGTTTTGTAGCGATGCCTTCTTTTTTTTTCTTCTTCTTTTTCTTCCAAAAGTTTTGTTCGTTCGTTTTTTTTCTTTTTTTTATTTCGAATATAACTGAGAAAAAGAAATTGACTAGTGAATGATACCGGAAGAGAAATTACATATACATATATATGTATGATTATATGGTTAATTATTTTTCTTTTAGATTTTTGTTTTTGTTTGTTTTTGTTAATATGACACGAAAAAGTTCGTCGGTAGCATCATCACCGTCGAATTCATTTGATAATGCAAGTACAACAAGTCGATTTGTATGTTCAATGTGTTCAAAAGTATATCGATCAGGTGCTGGATTACGTTATCATAAACGAAAACGACATCGTGGTAAGTTAGTCTTATCTAATTGATAATTTTATTTTAAATTTAATTATTGAATATATCATAAATTTCAATATAACTATTGTTTTGCTTTTTTTCTCTTTTATTGGCGAAGGCATGGTCGAACCAACAGCACTTCATCGAGTCAAATGTCAAGAATTTGGTTGTACATATCAGATGTTAGCTATTTCTGATCTTCGGTAAGATTCATTTATAAATTTATAAGGATATTTTAACGAAAAGAAAGATTCTGAGATCGTTGCTACGGATACACACGAGTTTTAAACTAATAATTTATTCACTTGTACTGGACAAAACAAATACATGTAATCATTATGAGTTTTCTAAGTGTCAAAAGAGAACCGATTTGACTAATTTGTATTCGTTAGTATGTAAATCCTAAGTATTACAATCTGATTACGTAGAAATCAGTTTTTTTCTTATGTATTTCACACTAATATATTCTCATCGCGTGTAGTAACAAACATGATATCTATGAATTTGATTAAGAAAATACACCAATTATGAAAAGATATTATTATAATTAGAAAGTATTTTTATCATTTATAGTCACAAGTCTTAATTTCTATAATCAAAAGTTTTGACCACACTGGCCTCTACTTTTCTTAGACATCACTTGTAAACTTACAATACTATTAAACTCCGAAGTTATGCTATAAAACATAGATTTATGTCAAAAATATTAGCATCAGTTAATAGCCTAATAGCTTTTACGTGCATATGATTTTTATTTAGAAATCATCTTTCTAATCATCATCAAAAACCTGAATATAAATGTACAGAAGAAAAAAAATTCACAAGTCTTGCAGGTTAGAAAAATATATATATATATATTATTTTTAAACTCTATTTAATTCTATTTAAAGATTTTACTGATTGGAAATCTTCATTTGAAAGTAGTACCGGTTCAAAATATGTGAAAAATTGTGGTGCCAAAGGAAAATCTGACAATCAAACAACAGAATATTACTATTGTAATCGAACAGGACCGTGTGAGTGTAATCAATTAAAAATTTTTTTTTGAAAAAATTTGCAACAATTTTAGATAAAATAGTTGGCCAAGGTCTACGTCGTAATAAAGTTCAAGGATCATTACGTGGTGGTATTCATTGTACATCATCAATGAAAGTTGAAATACAAAATGATGAACATATTACTGTTCAATATTATCCAGCACATTATGGACATTCAAATTTACCAGCAACAGATGATCCACATTTATCTGAAAATAGTATGAATATAACCGGTGTTAATGTACATCATCATCAACAACAACAATCGCAACAACTACAACAGCAGCAACAACAACAGCAGCAACAACACCATCAACATCAACAACAACAACAACAACAGCTGGATAATTCTCATAATGGTGGTGATCGTTCGTCTTCATCATCGCCTGGTTCATTATCAACAAGTCCATCTGGTGGTTCGAATTCGAATTCCAATCATCCACCAGTAATGACTGAAAGACAATCAATTACAACAACAAATTCTTTTCCAAAAAATCCTAATAATAATAATAATCATAATCATAATCATTCTCTACAAAATCAAATGTCTCATTGTATTATAATATCACCATCGTTTATGGTTGAAGAAAATTCTTCAATACATTCAAATAATCATCATCATACACCTGTATTTGTTGTTCAACAACATTTACCAACATCACCGAATACTATGATGACTCCTCCAACAAATTTACCAATTAAAAAAGAAAAATGTGTATCAGATATCATGCATGAAGCATTTCAACTTTTATCTTATTGGCCATTGGATCATTATCATGGTTTATTAGCATCAGAGACTGAACAACAAATTTCTCATTCTCGTTTCAATATGGATGAACATCTTATGTTCTAAGTCTGTGTATTTTCTTGTTTTCTTAAGTGTGATCAATTAATACGTCCTCTTTTTTTTTCTTTCTTTTATAAAAAATATGTTCATTCAAAACAGTGCTTGTATGTATTCTGATCAACATTGAACAAAGTCTCCTTTTGAGACATTTACAATCATGTCTTTTTTTTGTTTCATTCCTTTGTTTTTGTTTGCGCTGTGCTTGTCACGCATAAATACTGATAACTATTTCTTATTCTATATACTAAAAAAAAAGAGATCTTTCTTTTTCTTGTTATCTCTTCCATGCACACACACACATATATATATATACACTTGTCTTGTTTTTGTTATACGAGAAAATTCGAACAATATAAAAAAAATATATATACATACATTAGAGAGATTTCATAATTATTTTAAACCTTCTTTTTATAAGTATGAAAAAAATAGATATCCTATTAATTTATTTCCAGATATATTATTTTTGTTATATATCCAATAACTAAGTGTTTTTTATCCTTCATATATTTGATATATATATATATATGATTGATGATTAAATCATGAATAATATATTAAAATCGATTTTGTACAAAATGAAACCTGTCAAATACAGAATTTATTGTATGATTTCATATAAGAAAAATATTAAATTAAAGCAAATACGGTAGATTATTTATCGTATTATGATGCAAGAAATAGAATCTAATTGAATTTCTACCTGTATAAATCGATTTATATTTATGTTGTGAGTTGTGCTCATAACTAATAATAAAAGCAATAAAATACCGAGAAATTAGAAGGACAAAAAACAGTTTATATGCTATTAGGTGACTCTTTACAATATTCAAGGTCATTAAACTTATATATGTCGATTCTAACAAAAGATAAATTCAATAATTTGTATTTTATTATATAATGAAAAAAATTGTTACTATTTTCTTTAATAGAATCTAACGATAATAATTTGTACATCTTCTTTTAGACAATCAATAATAAATAATATAAGATCATGGATTCTATTCCATATACAGAACGACGTAATGCAATAACAATGAATATTGATACAGATACTCCAGAAGGTAGTTGAGAGCTATTAATTGCTTTGCTTTTAATTTTTTCAAGAGAAAAAAAATGAATTGCTTTTGCTTTATTGATTTTCAAATGTGTTTGCTATCAACAAAAATCAATATTAAATAAATGTCAAATAGATATTAAATATAGAATTTTCTAGGTATTGTTGATCTTATACATGAATGTAATATGGAAGTTTTTAATGGTTATGAAAACCATAAAGTGAATATTTTCATTGATTGATTGATTGATTTCATATTATAGAAAATTAATTTTAGGGTCTATCTGATGATACAATTTTAAACAAACTTGATCAATTTGTTTCACTTGTTCGAACAAATTTACAAGTATTAGAAATTTCTATTGAAATAAATTCTTTATATTCAAATCAAAAAAAACTTGTTTAGACTGAAAATAGTATAATTGTATTGAGTGGATGTGGTACATCAGGACGAATCGGTTTTCTTGCTGCTGTAAGTCTATAGAAATCAGAAAGTTAATAAAAATTTAATCTTATCTAGACTTTTTTCAATGAACTTTGTCTTCAACAAAATCTTCCTCCAAAATATCGTTATATTATTGCTGGTGGAAATAGGTAAAAAATTATCTTTATACTTTCAATTTATTAATCAATATGTTTTTTTTATATTTTAGTGCTCTTGTTACATCTATAGAAGCATGTGAAGATGATCCAGTTATTGGTACTAAAGAACTTCAATGTATTACTGATACATATGAACATGTTCTTTTTGTTGGTATTACTTGTGGATTATCTGCACCATTTGTTGGTGGTCAATTAGAATATTGTTTGAATAATCCACAAAAATTTACACCGGTTTTAATTGGTTTTAATCCTATTTCAATGGCACGACGTACACATGTTTCGAAGTGGATAAATGATACAACATTTTATGATATTGCATTACGAATGGAAACAACAGCAGGTGCATTAGTTATTAATCCAATTATTGGACCAGAACCTATTTCTGGTTCATCAAGAATGAAAGGTGGTTCAGCAACAAAAGTTATACTTGATACAGTCTTCTATTTGGCATCATGTAATAATATAATGAAAGCGAGTGAAGTAATTGAAATGTACAGAACAGCAGTTGGTACAATGGAAATTGAAGGACAAGATATAGCAACTGTTGTTGAACAAGCTGGAGAATGGTAAATTATATAGGAAATGAGTATTACATCAATCATTTCGAGTTAACAATGAATGGAATAATTTTCTGTTAATCTATATTTTCGTTTTAGTTTATTAAATAATGCATCTATTCGTTATGTCGGATCATCGACATTTGGTATATGGGGTATGATTGATGCATCTGAATGTGTACCAACTTACAATTCTTGTTCGTATTGATTTCTTTCTATCATATGCTTGTACTTTCTTTTCTGTTAGCTTACAATGATATTCGTGGTTTTATGGCAAATGATTATTTCCGAAAGAATCTAAATCCTGAACCACCACTTTCATTTGTAAGTGAATTCTTTCTCTTCTAAATTTAAAATTTTCTTTTAATAGGTATCACCTGCATTGCATGAAGCAACACCTGATGACTTATCAAAAACATTCGAAAATTTACCACCCTCAAGTATAGTCGTTTTTATTGATAAAGGTATATAAATACCAAACATAAAAATTTCAAAACTTACATATTTTTATTTTTAAAATTATAGATTATCATTTACAAAAATCTCTTGTTGAGAAACTTCAAGAAAAAGGACATCATATTGTATGGATCAAAATTTTGAGTACTGAATCATTCGATCTAGTTAGTTTCTTTTATTATTTATTTTTAATGAATAATATATCTTTTATATAGAATTCTAATGTGAAAATTATTGATTTGAGTAAATGTATACCATCGACGGATGTAACTATGCAATATTCTTTAGCTGAAATAATATTAAAATTATGTTTAAATACGATTTCAACCGGTGCACATGTTATGAAAGGAAAAGTCTTTCAAAATATAATGATTGATGTTCGTGTTAGGTAGGTTTTTTTTCAATTGTTTTTTTTTTCTTATCAAGATTGTATAATTTAGTAATGTAAAATTATTCTATCGTGCAATTGATATTATTAAAGTAAGTTAAATTTTTAAATTGAAACTAGTTTTTCGAAATTCTATTTACTTTAGTCATTAGCCGGTGTTGATTATCAAACTGCTGAACGATGTCTTATACAATCAATTTATCAAACTAATGATACTATAAATGATAAAACAATAGATCAACATATTATGGCTGTAGCTAATAATCATGATCATGTAAATATTTTTATTGAATATATTCACTTGTATAAATAATTATGATGTTTTTAGGTTGTTCCTATTGCTTTACTTATGAGTCTTTCGAATTGTTCGTATACAGAAGCTAAATTAAAAATGGATAAATGTCCAATAATTCGTGATATTTGTACCGGTACTAATCAATCATCAACATAGAAGCTTGCTTTTATTTTTTAATCTATTACAAGAATTATATTAATTGCGTTGCTTACTAATAATAAATTATACTAATCATATGCAATGTATAACACTAATTTATTTTGTTAACATTTTTAATCTAAAAAAGACAGCTATTAACGGATAGTATATCTATTGGAATGCTACATAATATAGCTGATACTTGAAATTGAATCACTGTTTTATCCAGGTTACATTTTTCGAGTGGGCGACGTCCACCCACTAGATAAAGCACTGATTATCATGGAAAAATATTTGCTATATTGATTGGTATAAAATTTCTTTCCCATATCATCTGATTTTTAAAGAGTTTTAATTTCTCATAGATACTGTTTGAAGTTACTACGCTATATTTAGCAAACCATTTTTCTTCATTCTATATACTCATATGTAATACATCGTGAATGACACTCATACATTGTACGTTTGATTCGTATCCGATTTCTTTTCTCATTCAGAGCACGAGAGAAAAAAATGGCAAGGTCGAATCTTTCAAGGAAAAAGAAAGACATTCGTCTATGTACATATTCAACTGTAGTTTTACATGACATTTCTGTCGTCGATAACAAAAAAATATGAGAATATAATCAGTATATAGATTCATTCCATATGAAGTAAACAATTGTCACGTGATATTCATCATGAATCAATCTGATATACATCTTCTTGATCTTCCTGATGAACTATTATTAGCTATTTTAAAGAAACTTAGTAATATTGATGTTCTTTACTCATTATTGGATGTTGATAACAATCGACTTGATATTATAGCACAAGATAAAATATTTACTAATACTATTAATCTTACATCAATTGATGAAGTAATTCTCAATCGATTTTGTAAACATATATTATCTCGAATTCATCATAATATTCAATATCTTATACTTGAATCATCACTAATAAATCGTGTTTTTCACGCTAGAACTTATCCAAAATTAACTCATCTGCAACTTATTCAATTTGATCAAGATATTGTTTTACAATTTTTCAACGGTAAAATCAATTACATATTCTTCATTAATTTATAAACAATACGTTTTATGATTTAGACAAATCATCAATTGGACAAACGATTAAACAACAAATTACAGATCTTACACTAATATATAACGATACCAATGATATCATACCTATATTAAAAGATTATACTATCAATGTCTATGCACGTATAATAACATTTTTTGAAAATTTAAAACATTTAAACATTAAAGGTTCATCAATTACCGCGTATCCTGGTATATTACTTTATGATTTACCATCTACTATTTTTTCATCGTCGATTTTAACAAAATTATGTATTAATGTAGCTACTTTTAATGACTGTCTTTATTTACTTGATGGTCGTCTTAATCAATTAAAGTCATTTACTGTTCGAGTTTATGATGTTGATGCTCCATCATTGATTGTTCATAATAAAGTAAATCGATCTTAGATTATAACTATATCTCACATTTAACTAATATATTTTTTAATTTTAGAATAATTTATTTCAAATGAAATATTTTTCATTAACATGTCATAGTCATATATATACATATGATAATCGAATTATTCCATTACTTCATCGTATGCCAAATCTTGAACAATTACTTTTATGTCTAACCGTTAGAAATCGTAATGGTTTAATTGATGGTATTCATCTTCAAAATGAAATTCTTATTTATATGCCATTTCTTAAAATTTTTACATTTGATATTCGTACATGGAATATAATTAATGGTTCATTATTAACTTTATCGAATGATGATATTCAACAAACTTTTTCTAATATTAGATATCAACAAATAGGTTGTACTGTACGATATTTTTTAACAAACAGTGTTCTTTGTCATGTCTTTACACTTCCATTTACATTTGATTATTTACAATGTCTTACAAATCATTTTCCAAATGTCTCATTTAATCATGTTCTTTATTTATCTATATGTGATATATCACCATTTGAACATGAGTTTTTTATTCGATTATCTCATGCTGTTCCATTACTCAAACATCTTACTGTAACAAATTCAACAGCACAAATATGTAAATCACAAGAACAAAATAATAATCAATCTTATTCAATTATTGAATTTAAACATCTTAATTTTCTTAGTGTTATGAATTCAGATATTAGTTATACAGAACAATTTTTACTTGATACAAGAACATATCTTCCCTGTTTAACTGAATTGCGAATTAATTATGAATACTTAAAAACTGTGACAGATGATTTTACTAGAGAGGCTACGCGACTTAATTGCAGTAAAATAAAGCGATTAATTACAGAAGTGACATTGATGCATTCAAATGATCTTTTTAGTTATTTTCCTTTACTATCAAATTGATTTGTTTCTTTAATTAATGAAATAAAATAACAGTATGAAATGGACTGTAAAATAAGTACCTAGGGACTTAAATAATGGAAACTTTTCTGCTTATTACATAGTTTTGATTTATAGTGGATTCAAAGCAAATATTTTTGAATCATGATTTAGGTGTGACAAGATCATCGCAAGTTCTAATTGTTAAGGAAGCAATCTAAAGCTGTTCAACAATAAACTACGTTGCTTTTAATATCCTTCTTTATGCTTAAGATCTATTTAATAATACATAAACTTCGCTTACGGCCATACCACGTTGAATACACCAGTTCTCGTCCGATCACTGAAGTTAAGCAACGTCGGGCTCGGTTAGTACTTGGATGGGTGACCGCCTGGGAATACCGAGTGTCGTAAGCTTTTTTGTTTTGTTTTTACAAATAACTTTCTCTTTTGATATTCTTATGTTTTTCTAAATTAAGTCTTTTTATTCAAAAATAAAAAATCAGGTTTTTATCATTATTCAATATCTATAAGAAGTTGACTGAGTACGCCGAGTTCTGTAAAATGTTTATTTTTTTTCCATTGACATTCGTTCTATTTTTATAATTTTTCCTCTTCTTTTCCATTACACAGTATTGAACTGAAAAAAGAACAGTAATGTATCTGTTTAATATAACTTATATTTTGATTTTATTTCTATGTATTGACTTTGATTACCGCATCGTATTGACATGACATGTATAGAGAAAGAAAAATCATAAATTATATCGATGAGATAAAAAAAAACAATCACTTTATCCTTATAATAAGGCAGAACGCAAAATATAAAAACTTACTTATATAAAGAGTGATTTATACGTTTTTTTCTATTTGATTATTACACTACAAATATGTATAAGAACGTCTTATTAGTTGGCGCGTCTGGTGATGTTGGTAAAAGTCTTTTACCTGATTTACTTGCTGATCCTCATTTTCAAGTTACTATACTTTCACGTACTGATTCATCAGTAAATTTTGCATCGAACATCAATGTTATTAGAGTTAATTATTCTGATAAATTAGCTTTAATTCAAGCATTAACTGGCCAAGATATTGTCATATCTACTGTTGGTGGTGAAGCTTTAATGAAAAATTTTGATAAAACTTTGATTGAAGCTTCTCTTGAAGCAGGTGTCAAATGGTTTCTTCCATCTGAATATGGTTTTGATCTTGATGATCCTGCTGCTTCTTCTACTCCAATTAATATTCCACTACTCGAAAATATTGAATTACTCAAACAAAATCAATCGCGTATGGCATATACATTTATTTCTACGGGTGCTTTTCTGGATTGGGGTCTTGATAATGGCTTTTTAGGCTTCGATATTCCTAATCGTGCAGTAACATTATACGATGATGGTAAACATTTAGTATCAGGTACACTTTTGAAGAATCTTGGTAAAGCAGTTGTGGCTATTCTTCATCATCCTGAACTCACTTTAAATCAACGTATTTGCCTCGCTGACACAACATTTACACAAGAAGAAGTTTTAAATCTCTTAAAAAAATATACAGATAATAAATGGACAGTAAAACATATTACTACGGAAGAAGTATTGAAACAAGCACAAGAAGATTGGGAAAAAGATAATTGGATGGATGCTTATATTGCATTTGTTTTAGCATATGCCTATAATGGTAAAGGTATGTGCAATTTTGAGAAAAAAACAAGTAATAAAGCTTTGGGATTAGAAAGTATCACATTGGAACAAGTTGTCAAAGAAGCTGTTCAACCAAAAGAAACTAATGCTTAGTAACATTTTTTGCTTTATCATATTATATGTAAATCATTTATTAACAATAGAAAAGATCAATAAATTTTTTTTTATTTGAAACACACATCATTGTATGATTATTACTTTCACCTGAAACTATTTTACAAGAACATCAATTCTCTTAAAAAGGACGATGATCATCATCAACTACTTTACTTGATTAAAATTATATAATAAAAAAAGATTTCAGTGAACCAGCACCGGAATTCATTCGCTTTTATCATAATAAAAATGTTCATTACATATTACAAAAAAAGAATCAATAAAATATTATGCAAGAAATTGATACCATCCAAGATGAGTTTGTCGAGGATGTTCAAGAATTTTTTTCCAATCAGATTCATAACGTGTATTTTGACCAAGAAGAATCGAAGTTGACGATATAGATGAATTATTTGTTGAATTTAATTCAAGATGTAAATAAACAGATTGAATTTTATTTTGTGGAATATTTTGTATAATAATATCTTTTATTTCATTATCAAGAACTGAATGATTTAAAATAAATGGAATTTTGTTTTGAAAAAAACGACGACCGTGATGAAGAAATGTTACCGTTAAACGAACATCTATACAAACGAAAAAGAGAATAGAATTTCCTTGTATCCATTAGAATCTTATTCAAATAGTACTAGTTTTCCTTATGATCCCGAAAAAATGCGCACGAGTATAGTCGTCCGGGATATGTCTTGAAATCCGGAAAATTTCTGATTTCGTTCTAACAGAAGAGAATAATAATAGTCTTTCATAAATGTTTATGATTGTCGTCTACCGAGTGCCATTCTGCTTTACTGTGCTCTCCACTTCTATTAGCAAATATACACAGACGTGCATCTTAAGAGTGTGGGTGTTGTGTCCATGCTTTATTCATCCCTACGCCTTTCGACTCAATTCAATACTCTTGCCAATAGGAATGTGACAGTACCAATTCGAAAGAACTGAACCTAGGCTTTCACAGTTCTACTTGCCAAACATTTCGAGAGCGATGAGATCGATCGCGATGAACATCTCATGGCACTTTCTTTATTTGTGGTTAGTAAGAAGTGAACTACATCACTTCTCTTCAAATCGAATGATTTCTCTTCGTTTCTGTATATGGTTCTTTGTTAAATAAACTGTTGAATCTTTTTTCAAAAATTTTCCGGATTTCGGGACAATACCCTCGTCCGCATCTTTCGTAATAAATATCTTTTTGACTTACCAGTTTTATTCTCTTTTTCTGTTTTACAGAAATAACGTAATTTATTAATATTAATTGTAAATCGTTCTGAAGTTGGTAGATAACTAATACCAACAGATATTTCTCCAAAAATAATCTATCGTAAATGAAAAATATGCTTTAAATATTAAATAATATTTTGAATCAAACTTGAGGAAGCTTTTGAAATTCAATTATTTGTTGATATTTAGGTATCATTGATGGATTTAAAGGAATTAATGATTCGAACATTAAATCTTGAAGACCACCAGATCGATCAGTACAAAATAATAAAAATCGTAGTGATGTTAATCCTATATTATTTTTATTGAGTTGAAATTGTACAAATTCATTACATGTTAATGTATCATCTGTTAATCGAGATAAATTTCTACAAAAACAAGAAAACTTTTTATATAAAGAAATATAAATTGAATAAATAAAAGACTTTGTTGTTTTCTCTTGCTGTTTTTTCCATAGATTTAATGATAAATTTGATCGATGTTTTTTCCATCCTTCTCGAAATTTCTTTAATACTTTATTATCTAATAATTGTATACGAATAAAATATTCTGCTTGTTCATCAAATGCTGGATGAATACGAAAATGTTCACCATTTATTAAATGTGTATTAAGTAGATTTTTTAATATATCAATTTCAAGTTCAACATTTATTTGAGCATATGGAACTAATGGATATGTATGACTTATGGTTGAAACTACACCAACATTTGAAAAAGATGAACAATCGGATTGAGAACGAATATCTTTTCTATCTAATGACAACAGATGGTCACTACCCTAGAAGAATAAATGAATCATGCTAAAGAAAGAAATCTATTATAAGAAATAATACATACAGGACTTGATGAAATACAATCACTATCTGATACTGTTCCATTAGAAAGCTTTCGTACTATATTTAAATATGGACTTTTAATCAAATTATTATAATCTGTATTTTCATTAGTTTTAACAATGGATTCATAATATGATGGTGGAATTTCGAGAATACTTTTTCTTGAGATTGTATTTACCGAATTATATGGTTCTTTATCTTTATAAAAATAACAAACATATATATATACAAACTTTATATATTTATTTATACTTACTCAATTTAGCTTTTGAATAATATCTTCGTCTTAAAGGAGATCGCGGACAAATAAGACAAAGCAATGTACAGCCGACAAAGGAAACAAATATTGAAACAATACATACAATTAAAATTCGTTCAAGTGATGTAAATGATCGTTGTAATGGAAGAATATGACTCAATTGATCAATATAATCTTTTTCTATCGTACTGTTACTCATGACTATAATAGTTATGAAGTAAATTTTCTTTACATTCTCTGCAATTGATTTTAGTTATATGTTTTTCATTTAATACTTAGTTATACAAATGAAAATGAAACAGCTGTATTAGATGCGGAAAAAAACAATATTTTCGATCCAAAGCAGAAAGAGAAAAGTTTTTCATCGTCGTCAAAAGGGCATTTCTATTGTGACTCTTTTTCAATTTATTCCATCAATAGATCAAGTCCTCATATTATATGTAACAGCTGAATATCATCCCCATGACTAATGCACCTTTAAAATCACTGATATTTTAGAAATAAAAGTGCATAACTAGATATATTTTTTAAAATAAATCATCAACATGTCGTATTTTTGAAAAGAAAAAAATTTAATCTCGATCAAGTAGAAAAGAAATAATAAGCATACACGTGCATATTCGTATATACATATATAGAACTTATATTATAAAAAAATAGAACGATAGAGTTTTATTTTATCACCGAGAAATCATATTCTCTGTTTTATGTTTCACGTAATTTTTGTAATCGTTGACTAAGTTCATCCTAAAAAAAGCAGAGAAATATAGAAATATTTTGGTTTTATAGAATTAAAAAGCTTACTTGTTCTCTCGCAGCAACTGAAACATTTGTAGGTGCATTTGGAATATTAAGATTAAGTTCAATGCCAGCTTCATCAGCCATTTCTTGCATAAGATTAGCAACTTGATCAACGGGTTGTTGAACTGATGTTGCATTTTGCATTGCATCATCCATAACTTTTGTTTTAACTTCAAGATCTTCGAAATTTTTTTCCAAACTATCCATTAATTTTGATGTTTCAGTTAATGGCATATTTGCTGTTACTTTCGACATTAATGTAACTGTTTGTTTAAGACTTTGTGCCATCTATTATTTTTAATTTAAGAAAATAGAAAATTATCGAAATGAATAATTAGTTTAAAGTTTTACTTGTCGTTGTGCAGCTGAATTAGCTACACGTGCTTGTACACCGTCAACACGAGCTGCCATACGTTTACAATTTAATGATTCAGAATGATGTCGAATAGCATTTTCAGCATGAATTTTTCCAGCTTCGATATTTCCTTTCATCAATGCTTTTTTAACTTTTTCACGTTCAAGTTTTTCCTGTTTATCATGTGTTGCTGCTTGTCTTTCAAGCATTTTCGTTTGCATTTTAAATTCAAACGCTAATTTATCTATATAAATAAATAAATATAGTACAATCAAAATATAAAATATAACATACCCGACATATTTGACGAATTTTATCGATTATTAATTAATATGAAAAAAATCTGAAAATATGACATAAAAAATAAATAAAATTTATTCTAAACTAAAAATTATTATCATCTGACAACACCCCTACAAACAATAAAAAATTAATATGTATAACCGGAATATAAAATGACTAGCGTAAAAACAGAAATAAGCCGATCAAGCTTAAACCAACACATGTTAGAGAAAAAGTTAAAATTTGGTTCAAATTATCAATATTATATGATGAATCCATAAAAACCATACTATCCTAAAATAAAAAATCCATGAATTTTCTATTAAACAAGATCTATTTTGATTGAATCACAATTCTTATCTGTTATAGTTATTATTACAATGTACTTACCCATCCACCATGATCTTTAATCCATGGTGTTAATTTTTTAACAATATATTGTCCTGTCACACATGCAATTCTATCCGCTATTTCACTATGTTTCTTAGCAATAAACGTACTAAAAGCAAGAATAGTAATTATTTTTCCCCAAGTTATATTATCATTTTCAAGTAACGAATTAAAAATTCTTGTTAAATCAAGACAAAGTAGATCATCAACCATATCTTGACGATTTGTTTCATTCTTATGAATTGTTATTGATAATAAATCAAGTTTTCTAAGCATTCCAGTAAATAAAATTTCATGACGATGTATTATATGATCAACTTGTTTTTTTATTCGTAAATAATTTTGTTTTTGTGATGGAAGTTGACAAATAAGTGCAACAGCTATTTCCATTGTTTCAGCTTGTATACGACCTTGTTCGCCATCAAAATATGACATTGAACGTTTATGTACGTATATATATATGAATAATTTTTAATATAACAAAAATAAAAATGGAATAATGTGTCAGTTTATATTATGAGTCATTGTTTCAATAGATATTAAATATGAATCATTTTTAAATCTCATTCATTTTTATTTTAATAAATAAATTCTACAAGATTTTTATTTAAGAAAGATAATTTCGATCAGTTTTAATTTATGGAATTATATATTCTAGAATAGAGGGACATACAGTCGATGGAGATTGGTTGAATAAAATCAAATAGATTTTCACAAGTACTTCAGACCACATGGGATGAATAATAATATACTAAGTAAAATAGATTTGAATCGAAAATGAATAGTTTCTCTTATCAATTATCAATAGACTTACAAAAATAATTTCGATTTCATAATATAATTCTATCCTAAAATATACGAAAACATAAAAATAATTGATGTCATTAAAACAATAGAATATGTAACAAACGGGTAATATTGTAAAATACATTTATATTGAACATATAATTTATTTACTAATGTCTTTTTTACTATCAATTAATTGAATCAAGACACGTTACTCGATAAATATCTACCTAATTTATATATTGACGATCATATATTTCCTTCATAAATTGTCTTCTTTCATTTAAATGTTCAAAATTCAAAAGACCTTAGAATTTATTGAGTAAGATTAGCTGTGTTGGTATTAAATCTAGTATACATATAAGAAGGCACAATCCTGTATATTTGTATTTGATTTGTGTATTGACTGTAATATTTTTTCTTCTATCGATAAAAATATAAGAACGAAAAGAAGTAAGGGTAGACGGTGAATAGCTTATGTTATATATATATATATATACAAGAAAAAAAAGCCAACGTTAACTGATCGTTTGTATATCATCAAAAGTTAGTAACAAAAAAAAAAGAAACATACACATGTCAAAACCATTGACCCGCACATATTCTCTTCGAAAACCTATTCGACCGATGGTTGATATTGAAGAAGAAGAAGATGATGATGAAAATCGACGAGATATATCTGGTCGAAAACGAGTAGCTGTTGTAGAATGTTTATTGGAATCATCTCCTGATGAAGCTGATCATCCACATATTCCTACTGGAAAATTAAGTAATATTCTTTGGTTAACATACAATGAAATATGTCATATTCGTTGTGTTATTACTCAAACAACTTTATCTATTGATAAACAATGCTCACAAATTCTTCGTGGTAAACTTTGTTATCGTTGTCGAAAAACAATTAATCTATTGTATTTTTTACCATCATTTTTTCATTTTACTAAACATGAAACTTGTTCTGTTTGTCAACAGATCATATGTGAAAAATGTT